CCAAGCCCTGAACACGAAGCCCTATTACTATAAAGCCCAACATGCCCCAAGCCCGAGATCCTACACTTGATTTAACAACCTAAGCCTTGAACCTCAAGCCCTTTAAAACCTGCCGAAGATCCAAACGAACCCCAAGCCCGAGACCCTTACATCCTATAAACCCTTTTAATCCCCAAGCCCTACAAAGCCCAAGCCCCAACCCTATACATATATATATATATACACATACATATATATATACATATATGTGCACATAAACTTTTATATATGCATATATATATATGCATATATATATATATGCATATATACATATATATGTATATTATAATTATGTATATGAACATGTTACGTATAGCCCCAGCCCTAAAACCTTAGGCCCTCGCCGAGCTGCCTTTCGCTGAGGCATTGGTTCCAGTCCTGCGTTCGGGCTTAAGGCTCAGGGTTTAGGGTTTACGTTGAGATTGATTAAACTAAAGTAAAACCCTGCATTTGAACCCCCAAGCACTTGAACCCGTAATCCCCAAACCTGTGCCCAACCCCCCCGCCCATCCCTCCCCCAACTGTCCTTGATCATGTTTCGCCAGCCGCGGCGCGAGGCTTCAAGGCATGGGTCTTGTGGGGTCTTAGACTGAAGACCAAAAAGACCCCAAGACCTTTGCCCTGCATCCCAAACACCGCACATCCAAAGACCTTCGAGTAAGTTCAGACCTTCTGAAAAAAAAAGCACAAACCTTCCTAAATCCAAAGACCTGTGAACAAATCCAAAGCGACTTCTAAGGACACACATGACATGGACCTGGGATTGCCCACCAAACGAAGTCTAATGATATGTTGAAGCTTGTTGTGGAAAGTTCGTTTGGTGACATCCCTCGAACATAGACAGCTATTGGCGAGTTGAGACCCACAGACCCTTTCAAACATATACAACTATTGGCGAGTTGAGACCCACAGACCCTGTCAAACATATACAACTATTGGCGAGTTGAGACCCACAAACCCTTTCAAACATATACAACTATTGGCGAGTTGAGACCCACAAACCCTTTCAAACATATACAACTATTGGCGAGTTGTTGAGACCCACAGAGACCCCATAAAATAAAAAATGTTCGAAAGGTCCACCCAGTACATTGTCTTCGTACTAACTGTACATCTACATGTTCGAATCCACCACAGAGCCAACCTCCATATTCCGGCTCCCAGAAAACCCTGTCTTCGTGCCTGCACTGACATAGATACTGTGATCGAAAGTATGACTATGAGGACACCTGGAGCCAGAAGAGGGATAGATATTCCCGCCAGAACTCTAAACCCCCCACATGCCCCTTAGCACAATGCCCCAGGCCTCCAACTCAGAATCCTAAGCTAAACCTATCACAACTTAAAACCTGAAACCTTAACATTCACCATAACCTATCACTAGCCACAAGCCCACAAATGCAAGGCCTCCTGGACGGTGTAGCCGCCAGTTCGCAGCTGAAGGATGGAGTAGCCTCTTTTGGGGCTTAGAGCTTAGGGCTCATAGGGCTTAGGGTCCCGCACCCAATGCCAAACCTCAAACATTATAGTCGCTGTAAACCCTAGGCGGCGGACCCGAAACCGAAACCCTTCAACCCGGGACCCCACCCCTCTGGAGGCAATGAGATTGGACAGTCCCCCGTAGCCTGCCACTCGCAGCTCCCCTGCTCTGTAGCCTTCGCATTGCTGGACCCGAGCTCTAGAGAATTCAATGCTTAAGTTTGAGGGTCTAGGTCAGGCATGCTTGGATTCGGGCTTCAATTTGTCGAGGGGTGGTGCTTAGAGCTTGAACGTAGGGCTGACGATTTTGCTACGGGTTGTCAGTTGCAAGGTCAGAGGATACACGGTTATGGAGCTTCGCTGGTCTGGGGTCCAGGAATCCAGTCTTGGCCAAGGAAGTTCGGCATTGAGCTACCTAGATTGGGGTCGGCCTGTATGGCGCATGCCCGGCCGATGCTGCCAGGGTTCAGCATTCTTGCAGCACAAGACGCATCAATTAACAAAGTCACAGAACAGATGTCTCGTGAAAGCCTGTAACACACACCGTAAGGCAGCAAGGAGCCCACAACGATGATGCAAAAAAACATAAAAGATGATGATAATGATGGTGGTTGGGATGATGGTGTCACAATGTTCTTGCTGGTTACAGAACTGTTCATCGTCACAGTTGCATGGTGACATGCAAACAGCGAGTGCCGCGGCGGAGGATCTGACGACGCTTACTGCAGTGCTCCGCTGCTGGAGACCTTCATACTGACTTGGTATACCTTTAGTCGTTCATGACAGCTGTCTCAGTCTTGCCGACCTGTCTGTGGATGCCAAGCCTGTCCAGTGGTGCTGCAAGGACACCCTCGAACCCTGGGTGCCAACTTAAACCCCAGAGTCTCGAACCTGAACCTCTGACAGGAACCCCTAACCCAAAGCCTCAACCCCGAAAGCCCCAAATCTGCAAACCCGAAAGCCTGAAACCCTGATGCAGGGAAGCTGGGCAACCTCCCTCCCGAAGATGATCTGCTGGGAACCCGCAAGCACGCAGCCTTGGCTTCCAAGTTTCAGGCTTTGGGCTTCAAATTGGTTCAGGGCAGCGGGACCGATCCTCAGGAATGGATGTGTAGTTTAATTGTGAAGGTTCTAGGGGATGTTTCGAGAAGATGCGTCGTTGTTCCGATTGCGAAAATTCGTGTCATGACTGGTTTGTTGATCGGCGACTCAGTTGAGTATGCCAACAACGTCATCGTGCAACCCGCTATTCCACAGAAATCTATCAGCCCTGGAGCCTGCACACCATCGGGAATGGCACGGCGCCGTCGGATTCAGGGCAAGAGTGTGGCCCTGAAAGTGTTGCAAGCTCGAAACACGAGACCCTAAAAGCTGAAACCTAAAGGCCCCAAGGTACTGAAAACTAAGCCGCAGAAACCTCAACGCCTCTGGGTAGGTGAGATGCTGTTCGGCCGTGTACCCGGCAGCGCGCATCTGCTGCACGGAGTAGCCGAGCCCTCGCACGTCCTCCCGAAACCCCAAAGCCCTGCACGACCCGCATCAGTAGTAGTCGTCGTCGCCGGAGTGGTAGTGTAGTGGTGGTAGTAGTTTTGGGAGTAGTCGTCGTCGTGGCAGCAATCGCAGCAATATGTAGTAGCAGTAGTAGCAGCAGTAGCAGTAGTAGCAGTCGCAGTAGGTACTAGTACTAGTGGTAGCAGTAGCAACGGTCGTCGTCGTGGTGGCGGTGGTGGTGATGGTGATGGTGGTGTTGTACCGCTGGGGGCTTGCAAATGTTATTTAAAAACAAGCCGAAGCAAGATAGATTCAGCGTTCCCGTAGGGAAATGCCCAGTCGAATCCTTGGCTGTGCACCCGCCCGCTTGAAGCTCTTCCAGCGTGTAGCCACCAGCATGAAGCTCCTCGCCGAGTTGGAGGGAAACTATACTTGCGAAGGCTTTGGTTCCGCGGTATTACTTCCGACTGCCAGGAAATATGGTCAACTACTATGAAACAGGATCGGTTGTTCTCTGATTTTTCCGAGACTGATACAACTCATCCTGGACAACTACAACCACAACAACGCGGCAGCAGCGGTCGCACTGCAAACCGTGTGCTGAAGGCCTGCTTCAACCCTGAACCTTCGCCGGAACAACGAACCTTCGACCCTGAATGGCTCTGAAAGGATGCGAGCATCTAGAAACCCTTTTCACACCTGCACTACGCATATCTATAGAAACCCTAAACCCTATAGAAACCCTTCTGAGCACTAAACCCCAAACCCAGCCAACATATACTTGCCACCAAGTGCCTACCTCCGTTGCTCTTCTCCCAAACCCAAGTGTCCAAACAAGGGCTATTTTGGACCTCTGGGAGAAGGGCCAGTTGTTTGAAGATAAGAAAATACAAAGAAGGAGAAAACAATAATAAGAAGAAGAATACAAGTCAGACAAAAATAAAATCAGACTAGCAGAACTGAGTTATAGTACACGTAACAACAAGAACATCATCTCCATAATATGAACCATTATCATGATTATAAGAATCAAAAAGCAATACCAATAGAAGAAACACAACTCACAGCAGTAAAAAGACTGATGTTGATAATGAACACCAATGGTTATTCAATGGCAGTAGGTAGTCATAAAACTATTATCGATGTTATTATGGTGTTCGTCAATTGTGGCTCCTCGCTGCTGTAGCTCGCTTCCCTCAGCTCCTGAGCTGTGTAGCCAGCACCTCCAGCTGTCTCTGAGCCCGGTCAGGGTTTTGGGTGTGCAGGGTCAGAGTCAAGGGTTTCGGGGGTCAGAGAAGAGCAAGGAAGGACATTGCAGGCTTCTGATTCTTGCTAGGCTCGCGGATCGGGGCTTGAAGGCTCAGGTCGGAGGGAAGTGGCATGGAACACCATTCCTTGCTCACCGATGAACTCCAGGGGCCTAAATGGTTACCCTTACCAATGCTAGTGAGGGGCTCCTTACTGTTTTTTAGTGGTATCGTTTACCAAAAGCCCTAGTCTAATTCTTAAGGCCCCTATGTTATGTTTATCGCAGTCTCTACGTCAAAGCCTCCACTTCAGGTCGGGGGTGCCTCAGGCCGCAATTAAGAAACTCCTGCACAGCCTAGGTGCATCAAGATAGAATCTGGATCAGGATCGGTGCTGTGATGTTGGTTGGTGCTCTGATTCTTGTGGCTTCTGCCACAAAACAAGACCAAAACCTTAACCCTGAAACCACCACGCCCTGAAACCTTAAAGCGACAAGCCTTACGCGGTCAGACTATACGCCCGGGGAAAGCAAGCAATATGCTTCCAATATCCCTTGGGATTCCTTGGGCCTATGCTAAACATGAATATAAGAACGCCTACCTTAAGGACGACATGAACCCTACAAGGGTTTATGGTTCATATACCATATAGGGATTCTTAAGGACGACATGAACCCTAAAAGGGTTTATGGTTCATATACCATATAGGGATTCATAGTATTTGGGTATGGGGGCCCCCTGCTTTTAAGGGTCATTTGGTCCTCCAGGTAAGCAGCACCCGGCAGGATTCTCACCTCGGAGCTCCGCAGCATCAAAGAGCCCCTGTTGCTTCAGTGAGCACGCTTTCCAGCCGGCTTCTCCTTAGTTCAGGTCGCTGAGGGTTGAGGCTTCAGGGTAAAGTAGGGGCCTTAATAATTAGAACAGGGTCTTGGGGCCCACAATACTATAGTTATAAGAGGGATCCCCCAAAATTCAGGTAATTATTTAGGCCACGAAAGTAGGATTCGGGCCATTGAACGGTGGGTAATGTCAGCGCTCGGCGACTTGGCATTCAAAAGTCCGCGGGTCATCTCAAATGCCCTCTTCAGCTCAAGCGAACAAGAACGATAACTAGGGAACATTCTCGATCTCAGCAACAACCCCCATCATTAAAAAGGAAGAAGCCCTGTTTCGGGTTGCCTTCCTTGCCATACAAAAAATTCCATGCTGATCCTTCCGAGTGGGTTTGGATACGAGGCAGATCCGAGGACCCACTTTGCAAGCACCGAGTCGCATTACTATATCCCTCTTTTTAACCATAAAATCATTTGAATGTTCTCTTGGGGTTGATAGGACACTGTAGGCTAGGACCGTGTGGGTCCGCGCTGCAGATTTGGGTATTTGCCGGCTCCCGCTTTTGCGGTGTGGAGGCATGGACAGAGGGCTGCAGAAAGGGGCCGAACTTCTTAGAATAGAGCTTTGGTGTAGTTTTGCCGTGATACGTGTGTTTTCGGGTGTTTGTTGCTTATCCAGACCCTATGTTACCAACCCCACAATGCGCCAGTTGTGCGAGTCTCGAAACTCGGTTAGAGGGCATCCAGCTTGCAGCAGGTCCTGCCCCAGGCGTGAAGACCATTTGATGTGAGCAGTTGGGCTGAACTTACCTTTGGTTAATGGAAGAATGGTAGTAATAGTAGTTATAATTCTACCCCATCCCTCCATTCCCTACTAACCAACGGTAAGTTATAGGATTATTAAGGCCCCTATTATTACAGTACCCTTATAGATCCCTTATAGTAACCCTTATAAACCCCTAATGGTGGTGTGGGGATCCCCGGTGTCGTCGAATGTTTCGACTCGAGACTGGACTTCGTATGACGAGCCAGAACCACTAGACGAAACCCCAAAAGTATGTAGAATAATAGCCTTTTATAGGGCTTGGGCCAGTATTTTACCTACTTTTGGGGGTCTAGGTAGATGAAACCCTAACAGAAGGTATGCAGGCATAATCTAAATAGTCTCACTAGCTCGACATTGGCGAGCCAATCCGAACATCCGGCTGCACTGCCCCTCACAACCCTAGTTAGCTAGGGTCTCAGGGGTTGGGGCAGAAGGCGCAAACCGTAAACCTGACAGAAGGTTCATTCCACTGAAACATGCCTTTCAGCATCAGGAGAACATGACCTTATCTCGCAATCTACCAATCCAACAAAGGTTGACGCTTGAAGCTTTTGTATTGTGTTGGGGAACCCAGATGCAACCTACCAACCCCTGACCAGACCCGTAGCAAACCATCCAGAAAACCCTTGAACACCCACAGAAGCTCCAAACCAAGCAACACACATAGACTCAGCGCGAGCTCCTGGATGTCGAAGTTGCCGTCACGGACCCACCGCCAGAAGATCTGCTTCATGTCCGACAAGGCCAAGCCAGACTCCCTGGCCTTCATACTAGTAGCTTGGAATAGATAGCTGGGGGTGGAAGGTTTCGTCTTGATTTGCGTAGGGGCAATTTAGAAACCCAAGATAGCTCGGGGGCTCGTCACGTGCTTGCCCCGAAACAGGAACAGTCCCACTACTTAGGTTCCTGTTGAAGGAAGAGGACCTAGGCTCCAAGGACCATGTCCTATCCAACCTTCCTCCGAGCAGCTGAACCAAAGAAACCCAAACGTCGTGGGTTGAGTTTTTGCCTCCTACTTCGCAAGGACGAGCCCAGTGACAGGGTTGAGAAGTCGGAACGTCACTAAACGAGGGAGCTTAGGTTACAGAAGGGTTTGTGAAACGCCCTTTTGTTGCGACAGGCTTTCCACTTCACCCATGGCCTAGAGCACCCTCAAGCAATACGCCCGTGACCCTAAGACGCTTAAACCTTTTGCGGGCTCGGAGAACCCTAAACCCCTTTGATTAGCCAAGGTCTAACATATGCGAATGAGAAGCCCTATAGCATCAACTAGGACATCCTCCTCGAATTATCTAGGGTTCTTATGAGAAGCCTTAAACTGAAACCCTCAATCGTAAACTCAATCCCAAACCCGAGCTTTGAAGCCTAAACCCGAAACCCGGCGCCTTCCATGCCGACTTGCCGTCGAAGATGCCGAACTTCAACCCGCCGGGGTTCGCGGTGTGCCTCGCAAACCTTGTAACTTCGTGCTTGTTGCGACTATCAACAGAGATGCATGACGGGGCTGTGCAGGGTTTTGTGCAGGCTGATAGCTTTTGTTTGTGTGTATGCGGCCCCCCGAGTAGCTGCAAGCTCCCCAAACTACCGAAGCCCCCCTTGACACATTTTCTCAATACCCCAATTTCACAAGCAAGCAAGGAAGCTGCTAGATATCGAAACACCTAACTGGGCTTATCTGAACCACGAAAATTCAATTTCTGAAAGGACCTCGCCCAGAAACACGTTCAGGATCTGGCAGACATGGTCACGCTCCGTGTGTCTCATCTTGCCACCCAGCTCTAGTAGCCAGGCGAGCTCGAAGAGATCAAGGTCCCGTGCTGCCTTGTCCTTGGAATATTGCACAGCTTCGGCCCAAAAAAACAATTAACTTCCATCCCAATCCGAGCGCCAAGAAAATCACTAGTCGAAAGCCGCTCTCGAGCTTAAGCATTTTGCAGCCCGAATCAAACCAATCTAGTAGGCTTTAGGGCTAGGGCCACGCAAGCCTTTGGTCTGAGGGGTTAGGGTTTAGGGGCTTCGGGTTTAGGGGCGTAGGGTTTAGGTTGTGGGGTTTGAGGGGCTAGCGTTGAGGGGTTAAGGGCTCAGACTGTAGATCTGGGTATAGTTGGGTTTGAGCTAAACTACAGTAACTGCAGTTTGACCATGGCATGCCAGGGGCGAACCTCCTTCAAAGGATCCAAAGGCCAGTAAATCAACCTAAAGCCACAAGCCCTTAGTAAAGCCCAAAGTCCTTATAATTATTCCCTAATTCCATGAACCCTATACAAACCTATAGACACCCCATGAACCTCCCCAGAAGAAACCAAGGAAACCCTTGCAGCCCAGGAAGATCCCAGTTGCCACACGCGGCTGCACCTTCGCCGCGAAATCAAACCTTGCGCTGCCCACCGGATGCTTTAAACGCGGCGTTGTGAGGGATGGTCGAAGGTGATAGAGGGATATGCGTCTGTATGCGAAAGCATGCACGCAGGCGGCATGTACACATGAGGGTATATATACGATAAGCAGTGAAGGAACATAAACACACACCGTTGATTCTGAGTCCCAGCTGCGCTTTTGAAGGAGAAAGGTCACTCAGATCGACTGCCTCGGTGGGGATGTCCTTGTCAGCAGAGTCCGTGCTTCAAGGTCTGTAGTCGGGTAGCTCCGTTTGCACAGAAACGGGTTAACCGATAACCGCTTCGTCATGGTGGAATTACACAAACACTTAAACCTTCTCAACAACTTAGATTATCGTGTGGGGGTCAGGTTCGGGAAAGAGGAAGGTGGGAGCTTAGTGAGATCCGTTGTAAAGACAGCCAGTTGTGACCTGGCATCAGAAGGCAACAGGTCAAACCCCCAAAACCTGTCACCGAAACCCTGCACCTGGACCCGTACCTGGGGTTTACGTGGGATTTCTGGACCTGGAAATGTTCGACAGAAGCAGTTTGCCAGATCAGGGTAGCTTAGGATGTTGAAGTTTGGAGACGCATCCCTAAACCCTAAACCCCTAAACCCTAAACCGTGGCTTGGAATGGGAGCCGACTACGGCCTGGAGGTCGTGACTCACAGGCGATAACTTCGGAACGAGCAAAGTCCTGCTTTGCTGGATTAGTACCCTTCAACGTCTAGGTGAAGAGAGTTGCTTGCATTTTGGGGTTGGGGAGTCTTCTGGCAGCACCAATGCAGGCTGCCACATGGGCTCGCTGTCGTAATAACGGAAATTCACAAATACAATCAGAGTATCTTACGGTATCCTTTGATCAAGCTGCAAGTCTCAATTCAACAAGAGAGGGGTGCGCAAAGAATTCCGCAATCCAATGAGTGGAGCGCGAATAAGGCAAAGATGGGTTCCTACGGCCGGAGGCCAGAGAAAAGCCACTGAAGCCCGAGAACCTAAGCCGGTGCTTCTCGATGAGGTCTTACTCAAGCACGAACATACCAGCCTAAACAAGATACTACTATATAGTTTCTAAGTGAGTACTGCATATGACTGTACGATTCCTGAGAGTCGCGCACTGTACGAGCAGTATGACGAAGGGCCCCATATTTCATCCGGAACTCACCACATCTTCACCTGCTGTCCTCTAACTGGAAGGCATAGACAATGCTGTCCGCCGGCAGGGCATGCACGCCCATATTTTGCAGAAAGCTCTCCTTGGTTCCCTAAACCATAACCACAAGCGTTTGGGAACGCACATCACCCAAAGCCCTCGGTTGCACCTATATCCGAGCGCCAAGCCCTAAACACCAAAACGCTAGACTCAGATAGGATCGCAAAACCTGGCCATGCTCCTTCTTCATTCCCAAGTCACTGGGATGTAGTGCACATTCCGGTTCTCAGACCTGACGGGGACAAACGGGGAGGGACGAGATCACGTTCTGGCTGCTCGGAGTCAGGGACCCGTCCATGATATAACATATAACATAACATAAGATCTAGGGCTTATATTAAGGGCTTAAGGTCTAGGGTTTAGGGTATACCATAAAGCCTGAGATTTAGGGCTTGCACTACGGGCATAAGGTCTAGAGCTGCAGCCCTATTCCCTACGACCTCTCAACCCTAAGAACTAAAACCCTGCTCTAAACTCTAAACTACCACCGCCAAACCCTACCCCCGATAACCCGAACCCGTAAGAGTGTCAGAGAAAGCCTTAAGCTAACCCTCCAGAGTGTTCAGGGTTTGGGGGTGATTTTTAAAACCTGAACTGCGCATTACACCCTAAACCTTAAGGACGAAATGAACCCTAAAAGGGTTTATGGTTCATATACCATAAACGGATTCATAGTATTTGGGTATAGGGCCCCTGCTTTTAAGGGTCATTTGGTCCTTCAGGAACTGCTCAACCCTACCCTTAGCGCTTTCAGGGTCTTCGCACCTGATGCTCTCGTTGTGGCGCTGCTCTGGGGCCGTCCGAGCATCTCGCAGCGAGGGCACCTGTGCGGGGTTTGATTGACGTGTTGGGGCTTTTAGAGTTTAGGGTTTAGAGTTAAGGGTTTTGGGCCTAGGGTGTAGGGCTATGGGTTTAGGCCCTTAGAGTTATACTTAGGATGTACAGGGTTTGGGGCTTTGGGTTTAGAACCTGAGACTCTTAATACAGTGCTGCGGGGTTTCATGGGTTATCAGAGCTACGGGGAGGCACGTAAGGTTTCAAGAGTAGGTGGAGTAGACTCCTCCTCCAGTAGACCTGCAAAAGGAATATGAGAGTTTCCGATTATAGGGGACCCTAATATAGTACCCTAAATAGTAGGATCCTTATTCTAAGTACCCCTAAATAAGGTACCCCAAATTTTCGGAAAGTCCCGAATAGGAAGATGACTCATTGCGCAAGCCCCTGAATGTGGTGCGAGGAGGACTTCCAGTCAACGGACTGAAACTTCAGGCCTGTGCTGGTATGGTATCCAAACTTACAGGCCTCAATTGCCTTGGTAATGAGATTAGCGTTCCTCCACGGGCTCCTTTAAGCGGCTCTATTTTTTGTCACCCACATGCGGCTCTATAGAGGTTCTAGTGTTGAGAGCTTGCATAGTTTTAGTAGGATTTTGGGGCATAGTATAGCATAGCCATGTAGCGATAAGAAGTGAATACTATCCGAAACTAGTAAAACCTATATGTTAACACAAACAGACGTCAACTGAGCCTCAAAACCTAAATCTATGCCACAAAGGCACTGGGACGTCCACCACCAAGCAAACTTGCACGCGTTGCTCCCGCACCCAGTCGCTGCTGTTGCTCCGAGTGCTTTTGCCTCGGTTCGGAATCAGAAGTAGTTCGGGGTTCGTCGCAAAATCGAAGCCCCAAACCCAGAATCCACTTTGAGAACTTGATTGCTGCAGGCTGCGCATAGCAGCGAAGTATAGCCGATTGGATTCAACATACCATCAGGTTCGGAGGAGGCAGCTGTAGGATGCTGTAGGTTGGTTCTGTACTGGAAGCTGTTCTCATGCTGACTCTCACAACTTAGAACTGTCGAAAGCAGCCTCCAAAGAGTCTTCAGGAAAATCCGAGAAGCAACTCCGGCAGCTCTTCGGCGAACCCTCATCTCCTCCCGCCTCCGAAAAAGGGCTTGGACTGTGGTTTCAGGGTTAGGTTGGGGTGTTGTGAGATTTCGACACAAACTCATGGATTTAGGGGTCATCCATTCTTCCAAGCTCCCGAGCGAAACTTCGTGTGGGTCGCGGCTGGCCTGTCTACTCGAGGAACTGACCGAAGGCTTACCCAAATCCCTGGAGGCATCCAGAACATGGCCGTTGCAAAGCAGTTCTGTCCCAACCCACAAAACAGCAGGATAGCCAGAAATGCCAGAACGACCAATGCCGAAGGGCTTTGAAGGATTTACCCTCTGCATCTTTTTTCTATGTATCTATTTGTCTATCTATATCTAACCATCTGATCTATCTCTCGACATGGAGGAGACACACAAGGACTTTCCCTTGTCAACTAGGCCTAGGCGTCCATAGACCTCAGTGACCTTCCTCTTCGCACTCAGGGCGCCTCCCTCCCAAAGTTGTTGAGGAGCATTCGCCTCTTCCACTCGCCTCCAAGGCTTCTCTCGTTCTGGGTACCGAAGCCCTTACAGTAGAAGCCAGAAAGTTGGAATATCATTATCATAATCCCTTTAAGGTAAATCTTAGGGGATCCTGCCATTATTCCATATTCCAACTTTCTGGGGTTCCTTGTAAAGCACAACAGCCTAAACCCTACATGAACCCGAAATCCTAAACCCTCAACCCCTAATCTTTGTCCGGGGGGGGGGGTCACCTCCTAAGAAAACCAAGCCTCGCATTCCCTGGAGCTTCAAACCTCTAGCCCGCTGCAGTGTTGAGAAAGTCACTTTTCCGGACGGTAGTTTTTTCCCTACTACCTAGCAAGGACATGCCCGCGTGCAGGGTTAGTTCGTGGGTGGGTTTTGGGCTTGGGGTTTGGATGAGTTTAGGTAGGGGCTGCAAGTGGGCGAATGTGCCAATACTTTTTTCAGACTGTGGACCCCCAGTGTCTACTGTATGATACTATCTCTGTATCCTTGCGGCCTTAAGGATCTGCGACGAAACGATATTTCGCCGTTCAAGTGCTGCTATATGTCGCGATGAATATGAGGCATCGCAGTTCCAGCCGATGCTTAGGATTTTGCGATGTGCAGCTCGGCTCGGGGTGACATATCTCTTCAATCTTATCCCAAACCCGACTTCATTGCAAGGAGGTACACCACGTCTGAATGCCTTAATAGCACTCCCCGATCCAACAGCCTCTACCCGACCCCTAATTACAGCAGCTTCAGGGCTGAGGATCTGATTCAGACCTCCCTGCTTTCCTCTGGTCTCAAGGAAGCGACCCCTCCCGAGGCCTTGTGGGAAGCCAAAGGCAATCGGGCTGAGGAGCGTCACGCAAAAGAAGCGCTCATCGTTGAGGCTCCGCCCTGCAGAGGAATCTCATACACAATCTGTACTATAATTTATATATATATATATATATATAAACACACTACAAGATACTATGAGATACCATAATAACTCAACCCTAAACCCCTATTAAAACAAAACAACAAGACAACAAGCATCACGTCTCTGGTCTTCCGGCCCCTTGCAAGCTGCTCGGGCTCAGGCATGGAGGTCCATTGCCCCAAGGGAAAACAAATGTCCAGGCTCTAACACTCTAATCTAGGGGCCTTCATAATTAGAATGGGGTTTTAGGGTTTTTTTTAATATTATACTCAGATAACTCTAATCATAATCAGGAACCCCTCTACCCTGAACACACTGAAACAGCCTAGAATTATGTGAAACCTTCTGCTTTTGTGGCTTAGGGGCTGCGCATCCTTGTCCAAAACAGTGGGCTAAATTGTAGTAGGACTATACAGGGAACTCCAGAAAGTTGGAATATGGTTTCATGGTAGGATACACTATAATTTACCATAGAAGGGTTAGGATAATCATATTCCAACTTTCTGGCTTTTACCTTATACTATCTACACCCCAAAGGGTTGAAGGTTACCTACCCAGGCCCTAAAAGTAGCTTGGTCGAGCCTGCGAGCCAGTTGTAGGAGGTGCTTGGCCGGCATCCCTCCGCCAGCATGGCGGCAGCAGCTTTGTAGGTGGTCGTGTGGTAGGCCCTGACCTGAATCCAAGGGTAAAAGGAGGGCCCGTTAAGAAGGACCCCTAGGTATATACCCTTAATATAGCTATAGTATATACCCATGGTATTGCCCATTATAGGCTGGGGGTCCGCATTAAGGGTCCCTCCTCTTCCCCTTTGACTGAAACTTCAGGACCACCAGCAAAAGAAGCAACGAAAGTATCGAGATATGCACCTACCACGACCGAAGCTGAATCATACCCAAAACAAGACTGACTGCAGTACTCAACAAGTAGTAGTAACGGTGAGCAGAACATAGCAGAACAATCATAAGCATGCCCACAGCATGACAGTCGGACAATCCAATGTTGATGCGCAGAGTCAACCCTAAAAACCCTGACACTAGACCCTGAGATCAGCCCTGGCACGCAGTCTTTCTTCAGTGGCTTGGCATCCACACAAGCTTGCAGGAACTTGACTCTCCGAGCTTCTTCCTCACGAGACTCGCAGAGAAAGCTTGCAGTGTCTACTATGGGGCATTGATAATGAGAATAAGGTGATGGGATAATACTATACTAGTACAACTATATAAAGAAACCCTAGGGATGATCCTCAGGTGCAAAGGATGCGATTTTGGGTGAGGGTTGAGGGTCACGGGATTCGGATCTGCTAGGCTTGAAAAAGTTTCTGTTTCAAGGGATCCAGCAGGTCTTACGCTTTTGGCTGCTCCTCGTTCAGCTGCTGCGGCTCGTGGGAATATCCACTGGTCATGTCGTGGCCATGACGGCTCGTCCTTTCGAGGCTTTTTGGGAGGTGGACGGGTTCTCTGAATGCGGGTCAAATCGAGGGTCTCTGTGCCAAAAGCTGCGTGCTTTCTTGAGGACGGCTTCAGATGTGTAGCGCGCGTGCCGTTAAAGGCTGATGCGCAAAATTGGTGCTTCAATGCTGCAGGAACTTCATTTTGCTTCCTCAGTAAAAAAGGTTGTCTGACGCTCTAATCCACATACCCCAAAACCCAATCCAACCGTTCGGACTGCTTCGCCCGACCTCGTGGGATCTCAAACAGAAGCCACCTAACAGAGCAACCTTCGCAACACGACCCAGGGTGAGAGCCAAAGTCTTCCAAGACGTTGGCGTAGGGTCCGGGGTAAAGGAACCTCAGCTGAATATAAGCTCGATCTGCAACGGCACCCCTGTACTCAAGCAAAGACGTGCACGACGACTCTGTTTATGCTCTGGGCCCTCAATCCTCAGCTCTTCAGATCTCTCTCATTCTGAAAATTGGTGCCTGCATTATAGAATGGTCATCATGGGACTACAACTACTAGGAGATACCATCGCCAACTCTTCCGACTTCCATACTACCCTACACCCTACCCTGAAGCCCTGAATCTGAAGAACCCTGAACTCCAAACAAAAAAACGAAATCCCGGAACTCTTCCGGTGCCCTACATCCTCACACTCAGCCACTCCGGAAAAAAACGTGCGAGTCGCCAAGGCCCCTCAAACCCGAAACCTAAAGCTCGCCCATGCAAACACTATGCTATAGTATAGTATAGTATGGTATATTGTATTGCAACTGTAGTATAGTAATGATAGTACATTACTTTAATTCTAGCATAGTTTAGTCTAGGGTGGTATAGGTACATGGTAAACTCGCCTAGCGAGCGCTGTCTTCAGGTCCAGCAGTTGGCGCTGCTTCTCCTGGGTTGGGGGTGCCAAAAGGGCCTACAGGTCCGACTTAGCCAACCAAGGCCAAAAAGATAGAATTTAGTGTTATTTTGGTGGGTTTAGGTACCCGCCTCGCAAGGTCGACCTGGCCCTAAGCCCAAAAGAATGATATAGGCGCCCTGATAATTAGAATAGGGTTTGGGGGCCCATTATACAATGATAATAAAATTAATCGTAGTAATAATGATAAGGACCCCCCCCCAATTGGTATTGGGAAATATCTATATAAGCCCTGTAGGGTGTACTATGATTCTTAGGGGAAGGGGTTGTGATTAAGTTGGGCTTAGGACTCCCCGTCGTGCAACGGCTCAGGGGTTTGTAGGCTATGTCTTAGTTTCGGCATTCAATCTCGGAAGAGCCGGTTTCACGGTTTAGGGTATTCGTTGTGCGGTTTAGGGATGTCCAAGGTGTATGGTTCCGGGGGTTACAGCGCTCCGCACGCCAACCTAAAGGGAGGCAACCTCGGACCGGAAACCCTGCAGTAGACGCTGAAGACCTATACCTAAACCCCCAAAAGTAGCTAAAATAACAGCCCAATACCAATAAAAGGATATTATTCTACATACTTTGGGGTCCAGGTACCCTCAAACTCCGAACCCTGCCAACCCGTAAACTCCTTCTACAACAAAGTTACAGAAACTTTGCAAACTTGGATACCCTAAACCCTTTCTCAGCACGGGCTTTGCGGGCCTGTTACCCTAAGCTATAAACCGTGTATTAGAGGACCCTCACACCCTAAAGCGTTCATCAATCCTGGAGGCTCTAGAACGATCCAAGCGTCCTTGGACAGCTCCCGCTGCTGCATGCATGCCTCTAAAACCTGAGATCGCTTTCGTTTTTTTGTTTGTTGAACTCCTTTTTACGTCCGCTCGATCATCCCGAGATCGCATTCTAGCTCCCAGGGTTCCATCTATCGGGTTCAGGGCTTAGGCTAGGGGTTTAGGGATGTTAGGGGTATTGTGACACTCGAAATCTTGTGATGGCTGTTCATGAAAGCTTCAGTACAAGGCATAAGGGCTGAACAGGAATCGAGATACGGAGCTGCGTTTTGATTGGGGGTTGAGGCTGTGGGGGTGAATGATTGAAGGATGTTGACTGGGTTTGGGTCTAGCCAGGTATAATTTCTAGACCCTAAACAAACCCTAGACCCTAAAACCCTGAGCCCTGGCATAATTGGATGTACCATAGGGGCCTAAATACTTAGATTATCACTACTATTTTGGGGGTTCCTTATTATATTGGGGTTGGGGTCATTATACTGTACATACTCTGCATAGTACAATGGGCCCCGGAACCCTATTCTAATTGCTAAGGCCCCTATCTTACCAACGTCACATTCTGTCGAACCGGCTTGACACGAAATCCCTCGGACCCGATCCACGGGTTCTTACGCGGAATGCATACAAAGAACATGCGGAGACATTAGGGACAAAAGGGTTTAGGGTACGGTTTTGGGGGTTTACGCTCTCGCAACTCGGACAAGCCAGACGAGGTTCTTGGTTCGCGACATTTGGGGGTTTCGGGCTTAGGGCTGTGATTTGGGGCAAAGTTGGACTTGCCGCTTGCATTTAGCAACCCAAAACCCAAAACATAAACGCTAAGGCTTCAGATGCTGAAGGCAAACCTTGCCAAAAGGTTCGAAATCCTAGACCCTTCACCCAATCGGGTTCCGAAAGATTCAGGCCAGGCATCCTCCACGGGAGTTTGTACGAGCTTCTCCTGGAAAATAAGAAAACTAATGCTCAAAATTATCGCAGCAGTAGTTGTAGTGGAAGCAATACCCTAAGGCCCCAAAGTAGTTCCTTTTTGGAACTCATAGGGTCATCCCAAAAAGGAACTACTTTGGGGCCTATGGGTAGTAGCAGCAGCACCATCCCCGACCAACATCTTCCCCAAATGGGTAGTATTATTAGGGAGACCCCTTGAAGGGCACCCCTTCTGAACCCTATTTCTGGCTCTCTTAAAAGGGGACCTTATTGCGAGGGTCTATATCCCCAATATTTCCCCCCAATCCTAACTCCCACCAAAGCAGCTGGCGGCTCCTTGCTCGAGATCCGGAAGGCCTGCTACGCAGAGAGAGGAGGGTGCGGCGAGTCGCTAGCTTGACGAGGGATTGGGGTTTGAGGAGCTAATACGGAAAGTGGATTTATCGCTTTGGGTCGAGGCAGTTCAAGGTGTCCCAGGTAGAAAAAAACACATACAGTAGCAGTTCGAAAACACGAGAGTACCCTTTTTTCTGCAAGCTTGCACGCAAGGACGCCTGGTGGTAGCCTAAACCCTTGACCCCTGAATGTAGCCTGGCTTTCTCGCCGGGGTTTGGTGCACTCTAGTAGTCTATAGGGTTTGTCCAAATTTCAAAAAGCGGGAGAACACCAAATAATGAACCCTGCAGATGCTCTGATGCGCCTGCAGCACACTGTTGATGTCGGAGTCTCTCCGCAAGCGATCCCAGATTCCCGCAGTGCCACCGGCCATGGCTCTCTCGCCAGATGGGGCTCGCGGTTAGAGTTTGGGTGTAGGGGATTGCGCCGGACTGAAAAGAGCCGTACTACGTAGTTTAGACACCAAAGGCTGTTGGTGGCTTGGCTAAGAGGCTTCGGAGTACAACAACTCTTTCAGGGTTTCCGAGATTCTAGGATTCCATTTTCAGCTAGTGGTTCTGGGCTCAGGGCTTTGGTAGTGAGACAGCAAGGAACAGCTTCCGGCCACACACCTGCACAAGGCCCGACTCACTACCTTTGAAACCCTAAACCCCTAAACCCTAAACCCTTTTGCATCCAGGCCTATTGCGACTGCCGGGTACCCTGAAGAAAGGAAACCCTAAACCCTTTTTGCATCCAGGCCTCTTGAAGTCTTGCCGGGGAACCCTAAACCACTAACCCTAAACCCTCTTATGCAACTCCGAACAACCCAGAATAGGCAGAACAGCTTTTGGAGAAGATCATGGTATAAACGGTTTACGGTTTAGGGTTTAGGGTTCGGCAAGCGAGGAACCAAGGAATAATAATCACAAAAGTTCAGGCTTCGATGGTACAACAAGGCTCGATGGCATCAAGCGCTGTAGACATAATCCCGAAACCCCAATTCCCCACAACCTAAGTGGCCCTTGGCCAGTTTCGCCAAGCGCTGTCCTGCTGGGCGACAGCACCTCGCAACACCGCCAGAGCTCACATCGGATTTAGTTTACGGCTTGGGGTAATTACAATCATTTGTGCAGTGCAAAGCTTCACTCCAGAGGAATAAGGTCGCCCACCCACCGTAAAATGTGTTGAGAGATATAGTTCCCAAGGGCTTATGCAGGGCAAGAGGGCCTCACAACGTGATGCACTGCATGTGCAAGCTGGCTTCCAGGTTGCCGCAGTCAGAGGAGCGCATGTGCTGCGCGCGGGTTGTCGACAGGGTGCGACAGGATTCAACATGTAAAGTGCGACAGGATTCAAGGTTCTAAACCCTGAACTCCTACACCTGGCCTCCAAACGCCAAACCCTAAACTCTAAACCCAAGCCTCCAAGCCCTAAATCCTAATGTTGATCGTAGCTGGGTCGGTCCAAGGGTGCTTTGCCTTGTGACAGGGCGATGTGCCCCAACTTTGTTCTGGCAGCTGTGAACAAACCAACTTTATGCTATATCCATTGCTGGTATTAGGCTATAGGGACCCGCTCGCAAACGTTATGTTGGTGGCCCTGGTATATGATACTGCTATCACCATAGGGAACCCTCATGAAAAAGTTTGTATTGATGCAGGCTTCTACATTCAAACCGTTGTATCTTCCTCCTCATAGAAACACTGCAAAATCCAAACCTTCTCTCCCACTGGGCTCAAGTCTACCCAGACTTCGAACGCCTACAATCCCCGCCCCAAACCCCTTATATAAACCCTTCCGTGCTTTCTCGAAGAAACCTCGGCATGGAGCTCCTCAGCCCCCTGCTTGACGCAGCAGCCTCCAACAGCGGTAAGCCCTCGATCCTGGGGTTCAGGGTTTGGGGCTTTGATTAGGGTTTAAGGGGTGAGCGTGCGGGGTTCAGGGAACTCGATCCTGGGCTTCCGCATGACATACATTCTTGCGCGCTCCTTATCATGAAACAGCTATAAGATCCCCAGACAAGAAATGGTCTTAAGCCCGTGCCTGGAGGTGGTTGGCCTTCACGCGCTGTTTGTCGAGTCCTGGCACAAGCCCAGATGTAGGAATTAGATACAGGACTGACCCTATATCCCCTTCAATGGTATAGCCTGTTAGATGTGCAGGAGGACTTGATGTAGCGTGAATCCAGGGGCGCCTGCGCGTTGAATGTGCCTTCCAAGACCTGGTGGAAAAGCTTGACCCGAGAAAATCACAGAACTTTGCTGGGGCGCGATTGAGCGTGTCATAGTGGGTTGTTTGCAATTTTTTGCGGGCCTTACAGGGGTGCATTCGAGTCTTATAGAAATTAAGGGTATACAAAACAGGTAGGCCCCTGATGGATGTATTAAACAAGGGTCTACATGTCCCAAATAATGTGGGTCTGAACCCATATCCCCGTGGAGTGCTTAGCAACGTACTTGAAACCGTGCACCCAGGGCTTTAGGGTGCAGTATTTGACCAGACATAAAAGGGACTACACGGTGCACGGGAATGGCATGTCCAATTTTTCAGATCTCGAATACGACAGCCTCAATGCAACCGGCCAATCACCGCGCACACAGTGACCCTCAACCTACCCAAAAGCCCGATACCTCGAAGGGGATAGTCCAGATTTCATAGTCTTACACTTCAAGCATCATGTGAGGAATAGTCGGCAGGAAGGGGTATGGGGCTCTCAGGGCAGCAGTTCACCTCATCGAGCATGGAACTCGCATCTCAGAGGCTGGCCAGCGCATGCGCCCGACGAAAGCCTCCCAGGAATGCTGCCATGAAGGGATTCTTGTCCTCTTTGAGGAACCTTTCCTATTTAAGGGAAAGTGTCTCTCCAAAACCCCAAACTCCAATATGTCCCTGAATGCTAACCCCAAACAGAAACGATTCTGATTTTTGTACCTAAGCGAGGTTAGACTCGTGAAAGGCGTCCAAAGCGACAGCTTCTGAGTTGAAAGGTATCTGCATCCTTTCAAGTGCAGTGTTCAGGGTCCAGAGAGCCTAATTTAAAACACCTCCGACAAAATTGAGCATGGCTAGTCCGGCTATGATATGACACGTGTCCCTTAACGAGCCCGGAATTGAGTAATCGAGCTACTCCCTAAAACAAGGCCTGAGCTTGAAACCTCAGCCCTAGAAAATCTAAGTACTACAAACCCTACACGTCCCTTTACCAAAACACTCCACGCGCCTGCTTCCATTGAAGCCCCCTCCTCTTGCAGCGGCTTGGCGAACGCCCAGAGACCTGGGCCAGTGATAGCGCAACATCCTGGCCCCGACAACTGCGCATATGCTGCGGAGTGGCAGGAGTGGTCACATACCTACACATGTATGTGTGTATGTCTGTGTGTGAATATACATACATATATATATATATATATATATATATATATATATAATGTTTGACTGTATTCATGTTTTATGTGAATTTATATCGTTTGCCTACTTGCATCTGTCTGTTGAAGCTCTGTAGTCTCGATGTTCCAACCCGGAAACAACCCTGCGGGTCCAAGTACCTAGTAACCATATACTCTCCTACATATTAATTTACAAGACGACGGTTCTAAACCCAAGTACCTACTCCAGTTGCAAGCACCAAATACATAGCTTGTGCATCTAAATCTGGGGTACAGCTCCGTTTATGACCACGAACAAAGAAACTACTGGCCCATAGGAAGCATCTCCGAAGTTGATGCTATTTCAATGCTTCTATAGCGATTTCCCCTGGGCACCCGGCTGTTTACCAGAGGCTGCGCCTAAAGCTCCCCAATCCGGCGACACACCTGTGGCCGGGACAGGAGGTACACAGATCCCTCATGCCCAGCAAAACCTCCACGCTTTGTAGTTAGAATGGGCTTTTGGGGTCCATTGTGGTACAACGGTTTCACGGGGACGTTACCTACAAAGGGATATCAAAATTCGTTGGCTTCGTGTTGTTCGATGTCATACAGGAGTCGTACTTGGAGCAACAGTTGCCCCTTGCGAAATGCTTATGCGTAATCCGAGGCCCGTGACCCTGCTTCGAGGACTCAGGAATCTGGCTTTTGATTTCAACAGCGAGCGACTCGGGAACTCGTAGGATGGGTGGTCCAGGAAACCCTAGGATGCTCGGCCGGGCCGCTTGAGGGTCTTGGCGAGTAAGGTCTTACACAGGCTTGTCGATTGTTTCGGGTGGGGGTCTACGGCCTTCTGTCCAAAACCCTAAACCTCAAACCTAACCGAACTCACACGCAATCGTGATAAAATATCAGGCTGAAGCTGCTACCGTGTACAAACACCGCACCCGGACCCTTGATGTTAAAGTATCATTGTAAATTGTAGTACTATCCGTACTATGAATATGATTCTATTATTGCGATTATTGATACCCGTATTGCTACTCTTATTCTGATTCTTATGGTTATGATTATAGGTTATTGCTGTTACTATGAAACACTCCTATTATCATGCTTATTATTTCTGTCATACCTTATTACAACAACTGTTGGCATTAGATCCAAATCCTACGTTCTCAAGCCGCCAGCTTCCCCTGCGACCTCTCCAGTGGCGGCTGCAAAAGGAGCAGCTTGATGAAAAACCGCCTGCTCGGCGCCCATTTCTGCTTACAGGGAACTCCAGAAAGTTGGAATATGGTTTCAGGGTAGGATACCTTGTAATTTATGATAAAGGGCTTAGGATAATCATATTCCAACTTTCTGGCTACCTTAAGGTGTGGCGGCGTAGGGCTTTCGGGGTTTAGCTCGGCTGGTAGTTCCCAGATGGACTCGGTTTAACCGTCTTCAGTTTACAACCTTTAGAATTTCGCGGCCCGGCTATCACCACCACAGGGCCGTGCATGAGCTTAGCATGTCCCGTCTCCCTCAACCACGGCCTTGCCAAAGGACTGCGCCAGACCTTTGGAGGAAGACTTGGGAGTTTGGAAACAGGGTTTTAACTGAAGTCTTAGGCTTTTCCCGAAGGGTCCACGTACCCAAGTAGTATATATTGTGGCCTGAAAAGTTGGCCTGAAAGTAGTCCCTATATGAATAATTTGGGGCCAATGTACATACTATTTGGGTACATGGACCTTTAAGCCTTTAGGGGTTGGGGGTTGTGTTAATCGTGCAGTGCAACCGTGCGGGATATGAAAGCAGGGCCTAACGCCAAGGGTACGCAGGAAAGCAAGTATGGATGATGTCACGGAGTGGGTTAGCACAACGCCCACCTGCCATCGACGGACTTGGTCTACCCGAACTTGTTTTTGTTAAGATGAGAGACGACCTAGCCACCATCTACCGACTTTCAGACCTCCATACCCGCTATCCGGGGTCAAATTGCCATTCCGAGAGGGTACAGGCGCCTTGGGATTCCAGCCTAGGGAGT